TGAAATAGTGCCCCAAGGGCCCGGTAAAAGCAAGCAGCTGGCCCCTCGGCTGCAGTTTGGAGACCACATTTGTATTCCAATAAGGCATTAAGGAGATACTATAAACTTGCCCATGCAGGGCAAAGTGACATTGACACTGCAATCCAAAGTGTCACTTAGTGTTGGACACTAAAGTGAGTGGTGATGTCACTCCACCAGTCTTTGCCCAAGAATTCAGCTACCAGACCTGAATGCTGTCATTTGAAGTGTTTACATGCTTCTCCATACCTGGCAGCACTGGGTATTGTCAAAAGAAGGGGAGGAGCCATTCATGGAGGCAATTTCATTCAGTTCATGATAAGCTAGCTGAAATTTGCTCTGGGTTGGCCCTGTTGACATCTTCCCACCCAACATTGTTTGAATGAAAAATTGCCAACTGAGCATCCAATTAAATACAGGCAGTGTTCGGATATTTTAAGAGCTGAATGAAAAAAATATCTATGTAGGTACAGCCAGCTTTAGTATTAGAAGAGGAGGGGATGGGCCTTTACAAAGGGGTAAGGTAACAGTGTTAACATATCAAGGCGTTCTAATGATTTGGATTCCTGCTATGTAGAAGCACTGAAACTGTAGGTTAAATCCCAACTGAACTTTCAACTTAAAGAATATTTCCACTTTTGCAGTCAAATTTGAGAAAACCTCACCATATGTTTGTTGTGTGTTTCCATTCACACAGCACACCTTTCCTATTCACACAGCATTAACAGCATATATTTCTTACTTTTAACATGTTTCTAGGAATTTCTGGACTGTCTTTCTCCCTGCACTATCCCTCATTAACATAAAATGCAAGGGGGAAATTTTTAAACTTTTAACCCTTTATTTCAGGATTGGATCTAGGTCTAGGGGGGTGCTGGATGCGCCCCCCCCCCCCCCCCCCCCCGATTTTTATCTGTGCCCCTCCCAGGTCTCTGAGTGTGCATCCAGTAATACAGGATCCAGACTGATGCAGATTGATGTATGGAAACACTTTGATGGTAACAATCCATGTAAGGGGGAACTCAGTTTTTGATGCCTGATGTAAGGGACACCTGATATGAGTGGGACCCTGATGGGAGCCTGATGTAAAGGGGAATTCTGATGGGGACCTGGATGTAAGGCGGGCTAAGATGGAGATCCAGATGTGAAGGGGGACTCCTAAGATGGACTTTGATGTATGAGGGACTCTGATGGGGACTGTGATATAAGAGGGGAACTCGATAGGGACATTGATGTAAGGGTGCACTCTAATGGGGACAACTAATGTAAGGAGGCACCCTGATGGAGACAACTGATGTGAGGGGGCACTCTGATGGGAACCTGATATAAAGGGGGCTCTGATGAGGACTCCTGATATACAGGGGGAGACTGATAGGGTCATCTGAGATAAGGGGGTACAGGTTCTTTTTAATTACCCTAATCTAAAACAGTCTAATATATACTAGTGTTTCCCAAGCTGTGACAGTGTGTGTAAGACTGTCAGTGACAGTGTCACACATTATGCCCACTGACTTTTTTACTGCACCCCAGATAGGCTAGATCCAGCCCTGCTTTGTTAGGAAAGACACTGTTAAAATCTAGTTTACATCTGGATATCTGATAATGAAGGACTACAAACACGGTACAGACAGTATTAAATTAATGTTAAACATTACTCCACTGCCTCCTCCTAAACATTGCAAAGCAGCAAGAGAATATTAAAGTTCTTAAGCAGGTAAAAAGGACTTAAAAAGGTAATCAGCAATGTTTAAACTTTTCCTAAGTTATGTTATGTGAATGGGAACATATAACAATATACAGTGGATATAAAAAGTCTACACACTCCTGTTAAAATGTCAGGTTTATGTAACCTATAAACTGTTGAACAACAAACTGAAATCTTTTAGGTGGAAGGAAGTAAAAATAAAAAACTAAAATAATATGGTTGCATAAGTGTGCACACCCTTAAACTAATACTTTGTTGAAGCACCTTTTGATTTTATTACAGCTCTCAGTCTTTTTGGGTATGAGTCTGTCAGCATGGCACATCTTGACTTGACAATATTTGCCCACTCTTCCTTGCAAAAACATTCCAAATCTGTCAGATTGCGAGGTCATCTCCTGTGCACAGCCCTCTTCAGATCACCCCACAGATTTTCGATTGGATTCAGGTCTGTGCTTTGGCTGATCCATTTCAAAACTTTGAGCTTCTTCTGGTGAAGTCATTCCTTTGTTGATTTGGATGTATGCTTTGGGTCATTGTCATGCTGAAAGATGAAGTTACTCTTCATGTTCAGCTTTCTAGCAGAAGCCTGAAGGTTTTGTGCTAATATTGACTGGTATTTGGAACTGTTCATAATTCTCTCTACCTTGACTAAGTCCCCAATTCCAGCTGAAGAAAAACAGCCCCAAGCATGATGCTGCCACCACCATACTTCACTGTGGGTATGGTGTTCTTTTGGTGATGTGCAGTTTTTTTTTTTTGTGCCAAACATATCTTTTGGAATTATGGCTAAAAAGATCAGCCTTGGTTTCATCAGACCATAACACATTTTCCCACATGATTTTGGGGGACTTCAGATGTGTTTTTACTAAATTTAGCCAGGCTTGGATTTTTTTCTTCGTAAGAAAAGGCTTCCGTCTTGCTACTCTACCCCATATCCTAGACATGTGAAGAATATGGGAGATGCCAGATTTTCCTGCAGCTCTTTTAATGTTGCTGAAGGCCTCTTGGCAGCCTCCCAGACCAGTTTACTTCTCGTCTTTTCATTACTTTTGGAGGGATGTCCAGTTCTTGGTAATGTCACTATTCTTTTGTACCTTTCTCCTGACTGATACCTTTTAACAATGAGATCCCTCTGATGCTTTGAAAGCTTTCTGCGGACCATGGCTTTCGCAGTAGGATGCGACTAAGAAAATGTCAGGAAAGACCTACTAGAACAGCTGAACTTTATTTGGTGTTAATCAGAGGCACTTTAAATGATGGCAGGTTTGTTCTGACTCCTTTTAACATGTTTTGAATGTGATTGCTTAATTCTGAACACAGCTACATCCCCAGTTATAAGAGGGTGTGCACACTTATGCAAACACATTATTTTAGTTTTTTATGTTTACTTCCCCCCTCCAAAAGAGTTCACTTTGTTTTTAATTGAGTTGTACAGTTTATAGATCACAGTAAAGGTGGAAAATGTTCTGAAATTATTTATCTTTATCTCATTTTTTTACATAACAGAACCCTGACATTTTAACAGGAGTGTGCATACTTTTTATAGCCACTGTAAGGTAGGGGTTATTCCAATTTGGCTGAAAAAGTGGGAAAAAAATTAAAACATTCTGAGTACATTCCAGGTGCACCAAAACAAAAAGGTGTTACTGAGTTAGACCTCAAGCTCTGCAATCAGAAAAGGTAAAGCTATGACAAGGCTTACCTGTAGGTACAGAGAATATCTCCTAAACTTGCACCGTTTAGGAGATATTCATGCAGGACATCACCGGCTCATGCGCATGCACTCTGAAGGGACAGCATACCCGTGCTGTCTCTTCAGAACTCCATGCTGGGGCAAGGGCTCCCACGCGCATGCGTGGGAGTGATGTCATCACTGTCCTGGCCATTCATACAGCCAGAGCCAGTGAACCTGGAAGGAATATTGGAAGATGGAAGCTCCAGGTAGACGTGACAGTGTTGCGCTGGAGGGCTCCATGTGCAGGTAAGTCTGTCATAATGTGCTGATATGCAGTGCATATTAATACATTATGACTTAAACCTGCAGGGGGCCTGATTTTTTGTTATTTTCATGGCGGTTTACTATCGCTTTAACAAGCAATATATGAACTTTAACAAGGTACTCGCTGACCTTTATAGCTGCAGGCACCATGGAGCAGTTCTGCCTAAAAGTCACAGAAGAAGTAAAGTCATTCTCTAAAGCAGCTAAGATCACTCTGCTCTCCACTCTCAAAAGAAACTTAAGAGCCTTTAATTTTACAATGTAAACATTGAGCAGGTGCTCTGGGAGGAGAGAGAAAAGTGAGCTGAGCTGCATAGAGAACCAGCTTGAATGACTTTAGTGCTTCAGTGTCTCCTCTTTAAAGGTCAAGACATTGCCATGATTATTACTAGAGATGAGCTGAACACCTCTGAGTTCAGTTCAAGCAGAGTTAAAATTTGGAGTTGGGGTCCCCCCTAATTCATACTAGGCCATTCAGGTGTGTGGGGGGGGGCTCACTGCATATTTTTTTTTTTTGTATTGGGTCTCCCTTAAAATTCATACCAGACTCTAAGGGCCTGGTAAGTATTGGGGGGACCTCCCCATGCTTTTTTTTTAGCTATCCCTGTCCCTTTGCTTACATCAGTGGTTCTCAACCTTTCTAATGCCGCGACCCCTTAATACAGTTCCTCATGTTGTGGTGACCCCCAACCATAAAATTATTTTCGTTGCTACTTCATAACTGTAATTTTGCAGTGGGAGGAGTAGTGCCACGTCACTGGTGTCAGTGGGAGGAATAGTGCCACGTCATTGGTGTCAGTGGGAGGAATAGTGCCCCATCATTGGTATCAGTGGTAGGAATAGTGCCCCATCATTGGTGTCAGTGGTAGGAATAGTGCCCCCATCATTGGTGCCAGTGGTAGGAATAGTGCCCCATCATAGGTGTCAGTGGGGGGAATAGTGCCCCATCGTTGGTGTCAGTGGGGGGAGGAATAGTGCCCCATCGTTGGTGTCAGTGGGGGGAGGAATAGTGCCCCATCGTTGGTGTCAGTGGGGGGAGGAATAGTGCCCCATCGTTGGTGTCAGTGGGGGGAGGAATAGTGCCCCATCGCTGGTGTCAGTGGGGGGAGGAATAGTGCCCCATCGTTGGTGTCAGTGGGGGGAGGAATAGTGCCCCATCGTTGGTGTCAATGGGAGGAATAGTGCCCCATCGTAGGTGTCAGTGGGGGGAATAGTGCCCCATCATTGGTGTCAGTGGGGGGAATAGTGCCCCATCATTGGTGTCAGTGGGGGGAATAGTGCCCCATCATTGGTGTCAGTGGGAGGAATAGTGCCCCATCACTGGTGTCAGTGGGAGGAATAGTGTCCCATCACTGGTGTCAGTGGGAGGAAAAGTGCCCCATCATTGGTGTCAGTGGGAGGAATAGTGCCCCATCACTGGTGTCAGTGGGAGGAATAGTGCCCCATCATTGGTGTCAGTGGGGGGAATAGTGCCCCATCACTGGTGTCAGTGGGAGGAATAGTGCCCCATCACTGGTGTCAGTGGGGGGGGGAATACGGCCCCATTATTGGTGTCAGTGGGAGGAATAGTGCCCCATCATTGGTGTCAGTGGGAGGAATAGTGCCCCATCATTGGTATCAGTGGGAGGAATAGTGCCCCCATCATTGGTGTCAGTGGGAGGAATAGTGCCCCATCGTTGGCATCAGGGGGAGCAATAGTGCCCCAACATTGGCGTCAGTGGGAGGAATAGTGCCCCATCGTTGGTATCAGAGGGAAGTATAGTGCCCCATCATTGGTGTCAGTGGGAGGAATAGTGCCCCATCGTTGGTGTCAGTGGGAGGAATAGTGCCCCATCGTTGGTGTCAGTGGGAGGAATAGTGCCCCATCGTTGGTGTCAGTGGGAGGAATAGTGCCCCATCGTTGGTGTCAGTGGGAGGAATAGTGCCCCATCGTTGGTGTCAGTGGGAGGAATAGTGCCCCATCGTTGGTGTCAGTGGGAGGAATAGTGCCCCATCGTTGGTGTCAGTGGGGGGAGGAATAGTGCCCCATCATTGGTAATAGTGACACCAATGATTGGGCACTATTCCTCCCACTGACACCAATGATACTTACCTTGCTGACCCCTATTCCTCGCTCGCTCCCTCCCTCTCCCATGGTACAAACACTTACCGGTCAGATGGCTTCCTTCTCCGGCCGCTTTCCTCCTCTTCACTCGCGCTTCGCGGTGCCGCTCGGCTCCTCCTTTCCAAGCTCCACCTCCTCGCCGGTGATTGGCCGCCTGTGTGCCTCTCTTGAGCTACAGTTCCGGCAGCCAATCACCGACGAGGAAGGATTGATCCCGGGGGTGTGTCCAGATGACAGGGACGGCATGTCATCCCGCCCACACCTGCAGACGGATCAAGGAGCGGTGTCTCGGTTCCTAAGGCCATCGGAAATATGTGTTTTCCGATGGTCTTAGGCGACCCCTGGGAAAGTGTCGTTCGACCCCCAAAGGGGTCGCGACCCCCAGGTTGAGAACCGCTGGCTTACATGGTCAGGGATTCCTAGCCATGTAAATCAATGGGACCAGTTACATCATTAGTTGTTAAGGACTCCATGGTGCCTACACATGCAGGTGTCCATGACAACCATTCACAGTGGGGACATGTCATGTATAATAGCGAATGTTTACTGCTACTTTACATGATGCTCAGCTCCTGCCAAAAATGTTTGGGTATTCTGAACCTTCAGCTCATCGATAATTATTGCCTATCTGACAAAGCTGCGCTCAAACTATTTCACCTCAAGCCTGGATTATTTCGCAAATTTGGAATCCTATACTGCATGACACTTCAAGTCAGTCAACCTTGCAGAATTTGGCCATTACCAGCCTATATGACCAATACAGTATTGCTTTGTATAGACTTTAATATAAAGTAAGCTTCTTAAATGGGAATCACACTTCTTGATCAAAATCCTTGTTGAAACTTGAACTTATTAAACTAGGGACAGAGATCATTAAAAAGGTCCCCACCAACAGTTGGAAGTTTGCCACTATAACTAAGCCTAAAGAATAAGTTTTCCTTTTGACACCTTTGCAGGTAAAAAAAAATGTGCATTTATTATTTTTTGTTCCAGGAGCCTGTAAAGCATTGTACTAGCGCAGGGGTGGCGAACACGCGGCTCTCGGCCAAAATGAATGCGGCTCTTTGCTCTTACTTCTTTGATCTTACCTGTTCCTCTATCCAGCGGCGCGCTGTCTTCCTGGCTTCTGTAGTGTGGGCACTGGGCATGACAGCCGGGTGCCAAGTGCGCATGCGCAAGAAGCGGTGCTTTTTGTGAATGGTAAGGCGGTACCTGGGACACATGACAGATCCCAGAAGCCGCCGGACCAATCACAAAGCGCAAGTGCTTCTCGCTCATGCGCACTGGGCACCCGGCTGTCATGCCGAGCGCCATTACAGAAGCCGGGAAGACAGCGCGCGGCTGGATCGAGGAACAGGTAAGATCAAACAAAAACTCTGCGGAAGTAAGAGCGGGTACCTGTCAAATTCAGGTACCCGCTCCCCAAAGGTCAGCAGTCATCTGTACTGTGCGCAGTCTCTGGTCATCCCTGTGCTGTCCGCAGTCTCTGGTCATCCCTGTGCTGTCCGCAGTCTCTGGTCATCCCTGTGCTGTCCGCAGTCTCAGGTCATCCCTGTGCTGTCCGCAGTCTCTGGTCATCCCTGTGCTGTCCGCAGTCTCTGGTCATCCCTGTGCTGTCCGCAGTCTCTGGTCATCCCTGTGTTTTGTATGGGGAAGAAAGTGTTATGGTGAATAATATGGTTTTAATTATGTGTTTTTGTGTGTGAGTGTTTGTCTGTTTTGGCAGGTCACTGCGTGGTGTGGCTCTCTGACTTTCACAGTTTAAAATTTTGGCTCTTTGTGTCTAACTTGTTCGCCACCCCTGTACTAGCGAGTAACAGATCACTGGTGCTATGCAGGTCTCCTGCAGACCTGTAAGTACATCTGCTTGCCCATACAGGATGTATAAGCAAGCAGATATGCTGGCAGGAAGAATCAATCAACTACGATGGCTCTCCACGGTGCTGTGGTAGTTCATGGAAAACTACAAGCCGACAGCTGTCGGAACTTGTAATTCATTTATTCACAGAACACTGTGAATAATTGATACGGCTATGTGGATGGAGCCCTTGTCAGGAATTCAACCATGGTAGCCTCTAGCACTCCACAGACCGGAATCCCCCAAGGCGCAGAATCTAAGCTCCGACCTGCTTGTTCACCAGGGCCCCTGATGGTGGGGATGGACTTGGAGCAGGCCGAGACCAGGTCGCGGCCCCTGGGTTCACCCAGCTGTGGTAGAGGCACCGTAGGTGTATAGCGGGTAAGAGTCTGATGTGAGGAGGTAACTAGAGCAGTGTAGGGCAGGCCGGGTCGGTAACAGTGATGGCAGTGTAGTACAGAATTAGCAGGCAGAGAGATAAACAGGTCACAAGCCGGGTTTGTCAACAGGAGGTCAGAACGTGCGGGGTTAAGCAGGAGAATGGTCAGACAAAGCCAGGGATCAGAACAAGAGTCGGACAGCAAATCAGTGTCAGGCAGGGTCGGCAACAAACAATCTACTCTCAGGAACACAGATAAGACAATATGGCAATTGAGCATTGCAAGAGCCAGGTTTAAATAGCCTGCCCGACTCCTGACAGGCGCTCCTGGGTCCTAGTGCTTGCCCGCTGCTGTCATTAGTGACAGGCGCGCCTGGGTCCTAGTGCCCGCCTGCCTGTATGTTTTGGCAGGATTCTACGCATGTGCAGATTCGATCGCCGTGGCGATCTTCTCATTCCCTGACAGCCCTGCATGGCAGAGCTGTATTCAAAAACAGACAGCTAGGATGGGGAACATCTCGGGGGGGGGGGGGGGGAGATTGGGCAGCGGCTGCAGCATTGGGAGCATTTTACATGTTCCACCATAAAAACGGGTGGAACATGTTCCCAAAGGTGAACTTATCCTTTAAGCAAAAGTTGATCTCCAGAATTTTTCAACCTGATTAAGAGGTGGTGTTTTGATTTGTGACTGGGTAAGTGTAGGACAATGCCAAAGACAGGCAGAGCTGTGTATAGAAGCTAGAGCTGCTTTTTCTATTTTTAGAACCTAGTGTTTTAAAGCTTCTCTTATAATAACCAGGATATTATAGTTGACATTGTTCAAAAAGCGCTGATTATCCACGTACGGGTGCGTCGCCGGAGTTTAAGCTGTTGTACCAGGATGATGCCTGATACTTACAGTGGACAGTTGACCTTGTTGTAATTGCATTCAGGGCAGCAACTAGGAGATGTCCCCCCCTCCCACTGCCTTCCGCGGCTTTAACGGGAGCTTCCGACTCCACTGGGAGCCCCTATTGACCAGTCAACCAGATTGGCTTTGTTTGGCACTGTTAAACAGTAAACCTGACATCACTTCTGGTTTACTCAGAAATACATGGTGCTATTTTTTTTTTAAAAAAAGCATTCAATCACCCCGATCTTGGTGTGATTGAAAGTTTTTAAGGGAAGAAGAGGGATTTGGGGTCTCAATGATCCCATATCCCTCCATAAAGAGTATATATAAGCCTATTGCTGTTACAAGGGATGTTTACATTCTTTGTGACAGCAATACATGAGATTAAAAAAAAAAATTAAAGTGACAGTGTAAAAATAAAATAGTGAAAAAAATAATGAAAAAAAATTAAAGTATACTGATTGTTACATGCAAACAAAAGGTGCCATAAAAGGATTGGTCTGGAAGTGGGTTACTATAACTTTTTCATAACTCAAGTGTCTGTTATTTCTTTGGTACAACTTTATTACTAGCAGTACTTTTTAAATACTATTCTGTGCACCACATAACTTTCTCTGCTGTATTCATTTTTGCTTAGACTATTTAATAAAACGTTTGGAACTAAACAGATTATAAATTATAATTTCTATGAAAGCTGTTTTGTTATTTAAATCCCAAATTAATGCCAGCTGGACATTGTACTAACAGTATCCATTTCCATACTCTTACCTCCTCTTGCCTTTTACAGCAGCTGTGCAGGGTGTGTAAATATGAATAAAGTCCAATAACCACCAGACCCAGTGTTATTACTAATCATCCTTCAATAATTGACCTAGTCTGACACCTCCTCTATTCCTTTGAAATACATATTTGTGTGTGCACTTCTGCTCTGGAATATGCCTTTTAGGCTTTGTTTACACTTGTGTTACCCTCTGAAGAGTGATCCATGTTGGATTACTCGTCAGGGAGCATGTAACAGGTGGTGAGGAGACATTATAGTCCCCTAAACTTTGTACCAGCACACCATAACCACATGCATGGAACAATGTTGCAGGGTGCCCCCATTCAATTGAATGGGTGCATTTGGCGGGTGGTACCACTCACCAAATGTGACAGTGGGGACAATTTATGTCTAGCCATATGCTCAGTCCCCCTCTGCTACCTTTGCTATTTAAGGGGGAGCAGTTAGGGAGCTGTAAAAATGTGACAGCGGGAGTTGTCATGCTGGGC